ACATTCCATTCACCTATGAGTGAAATTGCTGGGTCATATGGTAACTCTACATTCAGCTTTTTTTTAGCTCAGCCATCCTGCTACCTGTTGGTAGCTCAGCGGCTGCTCAGCTCGGGCTGGACTCGAACCGTTGTTGCTCAGAGCTCAAACTCTTGAGCGAGCTCTTAACCAACTGAGCCACTCGGCCGGCCCTTACATTTAGCTTTTTGAGTAAGTGCAAGACTGTTTCCCAAAGCAGCTGTGCCATTCTATATTCCACCAGCAAGGTTCCAATTTCTCCACATCATCATCAATACCTCTTATTGTAATTTTATAGAGACATCCTAGTAGGTGTGAAGTGGTATCCTATTGTGGGTATAATTTGCATTTCCCTAATGGCTAATGATGCTGAGCATCTTCTCATGAGCTTATTGGTCATTTGTCTCTTCTTTCACTGTCTATTCAGATCTTTAGCCCAGTTTTAAATTGGGTTATTTGCCTTTTTATTTGAGTTATAAGAGTTCTTTATATATTATAGATACAAGCCTCTTATCAGATATAAGATGTACAATTATTTTCCCCCTTTCTGTGAGTTACCTTTTCACTTCCACGGTAGTGTTATTTATTTTTAAAGATTGAATTGGGGAATTGGGGGATGGGAACAGGGTTGGGGAATTGAGGAAAGGAAACAGACAAGTTGCTGTCCTTTTGTTCTTCGGTCTAGCTGTGGAGGACATCGCTTCACTGGCCCATGTTGGTATTATCATTGCGCTCTTCCCGGGTGAGGCAGATCGGTCGCCGGCCATTGGGTGGCCGCTCACGGTGGCTCTTGGCATTTCACGCCCGCTGCTGGCTGCTCACACCGGCTGCCAGCCACTCACGGTAGCTTATGGCAGCCCACTACAGATTTACTGAAGCCTACGCCATTGCCAGCGACTCACAGCAGCCCAGCTCCAGGTCGAGCTGTTGTTCACCATCTTAGTTGTAGAGGGCACAGCATCACTGGCCCTAATGCAGTATCCGAACCAGGGCCCTGCTGCTCAGAGCTGTACTCTTAACCAACGCGCCCCTCGGTCGGCCATCATGGTAGTGTTTTTATTTTAAAGATTTTATTGGGGAATCGGAGGAGGGGAACAACGTTGGGGAGT